TTTCCCCCAATTCTTGGTGGTTTCCCCCAATTCTTGGTGGTTTCCCCCAATTCTTGGTGGTTTCCCAGCAATTCTTGGTGGTTTCTCCCAATTCTTGGTTTTTTTCCCCCAATTCTGGTCCTATAAGTGGCCGCCAGGCAGGTGGCTGCCCCTGTTTCCCCCAGTTCTTCTTGGTTTCCCCCAATTCTGGTCCTACATGTGGCCACCAGGCAGATGACCGCCCCGGTTTCCCCCAATTCTTGTGGTTTCTCCCCAATTCTGGTCCTAAAAGTGGCCACCAGGCAGATGACCGCCCCGGTTTCCCCCAATTCTTGGTGGTTTCCCCCAATTCTTGGTGGTTTCTCCCCCAATTCTGGTCCTAAAAGTGGCCACCAGGCAGATGACCACTGTGGTTTCCCTCAATTCTTGCTGTTTTCCCCCAATTCTGGTCCTACAAGTGGCCACCAGGCAGATGACCGCCCCGGTTTCCCCCCAGTTCTTGTTGTTTTCCCCCCAGTTCTTGTTGGTTTCCCCCCAGTTCTTGGTGGTTTCCCCCCAATTCTTGGTGGTTTCCCCCAATTCTTGTTTTTTTTTCCCCCAATTCTGGTCCTAAAAGTGGCCGCCAGGCAGGTAGCTGCCCCGGTTTCCCCCAATTCTTCTTGTTTTCCCCCAATTCTGGTCCTACAAGTGGCCACCAGGCAGATGGTCACCCCCGTGGTCACATCCCTGCTGGCAGGACCCGTTCCCTGCCTCCACGTTGTGCAAGGGGGAGAAATTAAGGAGAAATTAAGGGCCCTGGGGGAGGGGGGACCGTGAGGCCAGGATTAGCCGCCTTGTCCCGGGATTAGCCGCCTTGTCCCGCTCTTGCTCCTGCCTTTCAGCCCGGCTTTTGTAGCCCGCATTCCTGCCTAATGGAGGTGGTGCGCCTCCTTAACATGTCAATGGGAGCTGCGGGGAGGAGGAACAAGCTCCAGCTTTGTCTGGACAAGCCGGGTCCTATCGGGGCTCGCTATCGCACGGAGAGCTTCAAGGCAGGGCCAAAATTCCGGGGGCAAAGGAGGGTTTTGGCAGCGGGTGCCTGGCACCAGCCGCTCGCGCCGGAGCGGATGCTGGGGCCAGCTTTGATGTTCAATCCAACGTCTCGGAGCTTCAGGAGGGGAAAAGGGAAGCTCGGCTCTTTCCAGAAGATCCGACGGGACGAAGCATCCTGAAATTCAGGACTAAGCTGCAGCCCGGCGCGCGCTCAGTGCAGATCCAGCTGGAAAAGCAGCAGCGGGATGGCAGGTGGATAAGCTGCGGTGTCGGAGCCTTCCCTTCAAACTTGGCTTGCTTTCCGGAGACCAACGGCTCCGGATATCTCAGAGCTGCCCTAGGTTTTGCTCCTGGCCCTAGGTTTTGCTCCTGTTGTGGCTTCCCGGCACTTGGGTGACGTGGAGCCATGTTCGGTCCTTCTGCAGCGCGATTCCGTTCAGTTCTTCCACAATTCCGTTCAGTTCTTCCACAATTCCGTTCAGTTCTTCCATGTTTTCTTTGCATTCCAGCTCCCAAATTCCTCACAAAGCTCCTTTGCTCTGCCCTTCCGCGGGCTGGGACTATTTTGCAGCTTCCCATGGTGAAATATTCCCATTTGTCCGACCTGTGAGTATCACACCAGGCTTTCCCCGCCAGCACCTGGATTGCTCTGGCCAAGGACCGAACGGGCGCTGTTGGTTGCCGCTTCTCCCGATGACTTCACCTGCCTCTCCCAGTTCCCAGGAGAGGAGGGATCGAGGGATCGGCTCCTTCCTGCCCAAATGCTCCGAGAAACGCCCTAGGTTGAGCCGCCTGTTTTGGCCAACCGGAGCAGAGCTGGCGACCGAGGCAGGGCCTGTAGGCCTGGACCTTTCGGGCCATCCTCACAACTCTCCGTGGTCCTGCCGTGCTTGTCCGGCCCTCTCGGATGTGGTGGCTGCCGTAGGGCTTCCCAACGGGGGGTCTTCTCCAGAGGTAGCTCTCCCATGAGGCATCGTGCCCTGCTCATCGGAGCCCTCTAGACCAGGGCCCGCGAGGAGTTTCTCCATTTCTGTAGCTAATTTGGGAAGGAAATTGGTGTTGGACCAGCCTGTTGGACGTTCTGCCCCATGGGGCTGCTGCAGAGGTTGTCTTCTCATGGCGGTGGCTCTAGAGGCTTCTGAAAGCAGCCGGCCTGGATCAGATCCCCCTCCCATGACAGCGACGTTGACCATGGAGATGGTGCCTTTGGGAAGAGGTTGCGTTTAGAACCTTCCTCCCTGGGCTGTGCCCTTGGTTTGGGCACTCGGAGCAACCAGAGCAGCGGGGGCTTCCCATTCCTCCTCCATTTCACCCCGATGTGAAGGGGTGAGGTTGGGCGAGGCGAGGTTGAACCTCGGGAGCTGGAGGGAGGCCCTGAAGCAGCTGCAGGCCCCAGGAGCCCGTCGCAGCCCGGGCCGTGCGTGCGGGGAGGAACCGCACGGCGTTGAGCCCAGAGACTGGGCAGGGTCTGGAGACCAGAGTTACTGGTGAGCGTTGAACACGCACGGCCTGTCCTCCTTCGTCCTGGGCCTGCTGGGCCTCCTGGGCCTCTTGGGCCTCTTGGGCCTCCTGATCTCTCTGTGGCTGAGAAAGCAGAGCCCAGAGCCCAGTTTCCCCTATATCCGCTCGCTGAGCTGGGTTTTAACCTGCCAGCCCTGGGGTAAAAACCTACCCGCGTTGGAGGCCTGAGGAGGCCCCGAGGCTGGAGGTGCGTCTGTATGTGACAGCCTCCGTACGGAGGTGCCTCCGTGTGTGCAGAGGCCCAGTGGCTACCTGCTAGGTCTACGCTAATGATATAATAAATAATTTAGCAATAATTAGAAGTTATTTATGCCACGGAGCTGTGGGATGTCCGTGCGGGCGCCGCATCCCTTGGGAAAGGCCTCGCGGGGCGCCGCTGGAGCGAGCTGAGGTAGGTTGAGCGGAGGCCGGGCTGGGAGCCGCCGGACCTCGCTCTTTGGGGCTGGAGGCTGGACCGGGCCTGCTGCCGGGATCCAGAGCTGCCGCTCGCTCCGGGAAAAGGGAGTGGATTAGGGAAGCTGAGGAAGGCCGAGGCTGAGGAAGGCCGAGGCTGAGGAAGGCCGGGCCTGTGCAGTCCTGAGCAGCCTCCCTGGGCAGTGCCTCTGCCCTCCAGGTGCCCTTGAAGTGCTGCCCACCCGCGGCCCATTCTTCTTGGGGACCAAGAGGTGCTGCGAGGGGGACCATGGGGCTCCCTGGTGAGCTGTCAAGGTGGTGGCTTTCAAGCGTCGAGGATTTCTTGGGGCCTTCGCGCTGGGGAATTGGTGTTTAAGCTCCCTGCTGTCCCAGCCTGACTGCAGCCCTCCTTGGAAGGGCACCTAGTGCCCCTGCACGGTCACAGCGTCACTTGCGTCACTTCTCCTTCCTCGTGGCAAATCTTGAGGGGCGGTGGCTGCGGGGGCAGCAGGATCGGGGTGTGCGATGGACAAGAGGTGGACGGGGAGATGTGGGGTGGATGGGGAGGTGTGTGGTGGATGGGGAGATGTGGAGTGGACGGGGAGATGCGGGGTGGACAGGGAGGTGGATCTTGTTCCTTGAGGTTCACCAAAGAAAGACCCCCAAAGCTCTTGCTCTTACTCCTGGTTGCCCTACCCCAAAGAGCTGATAGAAAGACGACGGTGGGGCTGGTGGCCCTCTGTCCAGCCAAGGGAGGTCTCTACGAGCCAACTAGCCCATCAGACATCATCACTAACATGCTGCTCTGGTGTCTTTTGCTTCATCAGGTTCCGGAGAGTCCTAGGATGAGGCTCCTGTGAGGCCCCCCCGGCCCTGCTGCGGCTTCCGTGCGGCCCCCGCGCGCGGCGGGAGACGCGACGTCGCTGGACAGCATGAGCCTGGCCCGCGGGGCGCCACCCGCCTGCCGGGGGAGGACTTGGCTCTCCGTGCTGCTGCTGGCGGCCTCCGTGCGTGGCCGCTGGCCCGGCGAGCCCGCGGAGGCGCTGCGGGACTGGGAGAACCAGCTGGAGGCCTCCATGCACTCGGCGCTCTCCGACTTCCGAGAGAGCGTCCCGGCCGTCGTGGGCATCCCCGACAGCTCCGCCGTCGTGGGCCGCTTCTTCAGGGTCAGCATCCCCATGGATTTAATTGCTTCCCACGGAGAAATGGTCCAGGTGAGTGGTGGCATTCCCCGAGGTTGGCTTTCGGCCTCCCGTGTGTGGGACCTGCTGATAGGATGGGTCACAAGGGGGACTACGAGGCAGCCTTGGGAGCTTGTAGGGCTTGCAGAAGAAGGATGGAAGAAAATCCCTTTTCTCGCCTGGTTACAAAGCTCCTTCTCTCTGCAGTAGACTTGGAGGCCTCTTTCCTAAGCGGTGGAAAGAGACCTTGGAGACCTCTTTCCTAAGCGGTGATCCGTCTGCTTGGTGGGCTCTGTTTAACCTGGAGCATCCAGCCCCAGGAATATTGGACACGTTGACCCGAGGGGGAGATGTTGCCTCGGGATCTGGGACTGTAGCTCCGACACCGGCAATTTTTATGGCCATAAAATATTGTTAGATGGGTCTCCTGCTGCAAGGAGGGCTCTGGAGCACCTGTGACAGCCTCTCCTGGCCCTGTACCCGGGTCTTTTTGGGGCAAGATGGGTACCTTTTGGCAACCTACCCTCAGGCTCCTGGTCACACCTGAAAAAGTGACTTTTGAGGATGAGTGCTGATAGCAAGAAAATGTCAAACTAGCCTGGAAAGAGGGTTTAGAGACACCTCCAAACCTATGTTGGCCAACCGGCTGCTTGCCCAGCTCGGGCGAGTCTGGGTTTAAGTGGAAAAAAATGGAAGTTTGGGAAGAAGTTTTCCAGTTTTGCCAAACTTCCCTAGCGAGCAAAATGGGAAACTATATTTTTTATTTGCTTATTGCTTGGGGAGGGAGGGGTGAGACCAGCAAGCCCTTGTGTTCTAGAAGATCAGAGGGAGATGGAGAGCCAGTCAAAAGGCAGCTCTGCTTCCCCTTGAAGGCGGTTTGGCTTTAGATGTGTCGGCGCTGGCCTTCGTCCCATGGGGAGGAGGAGGAGGAGGGCAGCGCCGGCGCCCTGGGCTTAGGGCAGCTGGAGAAGGGGCCGCCCACGCTGGTTCTCCTCTAAAAACGGTGCCGTTCGCTTGACTTCGAAGCGGTGGTGGCCTCGAGCGTTCAGCGGTAAGCATGGTGGCCACCGCGCCGTGGTCAGTGTCCTTGAAAGGAGCAGCCCCTTCTGCTGGACCTGTAGGAACAAGAAGGTTCTTGAGGGTCGCTGGGTTCCCCCGGTCCTACCCCTGCCGTGTGGATCTCCCTGCTCCGTATTGCAGCGAAGGCTGGGGCAGCTTTGCCCTCTGCTTGGAAATCCCTTGGATTTGGGAAGGGATCGAGATGTTCTGAAAGGGCTTTTCAAGATCTTTGGAAGGGTTTTCAAGATCTTTGGAAGGGTTTTCAAGATCTTTGGAAGGGTTTTCAAGATCTT